TGCACTGCAAAAGAACTAAAAGGCAACCTACACTGTGGGAAAAAATTTTTACCAGCTGCTCCTCAGACAAAGGACTATTATCTAGAATACATAAAGAACTCAAAACAATCAGCCCCCCCCAAATATAAAGACCCAATTCAAAAATGGGCATCTGAAATGAACAGACATTTCTAAAAGAAGTAAAAGCAGCAAGTAAATATATGAAAAAATGTTCCACATCACTGGTCATTCGAGAGATGTAGATGAAAACAACACTGAGATTCCACCTCACCCTACAAAGAATGGCTGCTATCAAGAAATCAACCAATAACAAATGTTGGCAGGGTTGTGGGGAGAAAGGAACCCTTTTCCATTGTTGGTGGGAGTGCAGACTGGTGCAACCACTATGGAAATCAATATGGAGATACCTCAAAGAGCTGGGACTAGAGGTTCCATTTGACCCAGCCATCCCTCTGCTGGGTATCTTTCCAAAAGAATTAAAAGAATCACATCACAGTGATATAAGTGCACCTATGTTTATAGTGACATGGTTTGTAATAGCTAAAACTTGGGAACAGCCCATTTGCCCATCAGCTGGAGACTGGATAAAGAAGATGTGTTTTTTCTATAAAATGGAATACGACTCAGTCATAAAGAATGAGAAATTAGAGTCATTCATAGGAAAATGGATACATATTGAGGATATACTCCTAAGTGAAATAAATAAGTCACATATATATAAATACTGAACAGTTTCTGTGGTGTGAAAAACTATAATGGTACATAAGATCCTAATGATAAAATTGACAATGTGAAACAGGAAGAAAAGGGCTAAAGGTGTAGGGAAAGTGGGAAGGGTAGGGGAAAGGTAATAAGGGAAAAGAAAAAAAATATGAGAAAATGAAAAAATGGAAATAAAGTATTTGTAAATAGGGAAGGGAGGAGGGGGTAAAGGGAGGGCAGGGACAAGGGGAAAAAATGAGAACCAAGATCTGTCATGTAAAGGTACAAAATCCCAATGATGAATGTAACTGTTCTGTATACCTAAAATGTACCAATAAACTCAGTGAGAAAAATAAATAAATAAATGAATGGGGGTGGGGACCTTGAAGAGGATATCAGAAAATGGAAGGGCTGGGGATGTAGTTCAGTGGCACAGCACCTGCCTGGCAAACTTGAGGTTCTGAGTTTGATTCCTGCTACCAAAAGAAAATGCAAGGATATCCTCTGTTCTTGGATAGACAGAACTAATATAGAGAAAATGGCCATACTTCCAAAATTGTTAACAAATTTAATGCAATCCTAATCAAAATACCAATAGTATACCTCACAGAACTAGGAAAAACAATCCTAAAACTCATTTGGAACCGGAAAAGACCTAAAATAGCAAAATCAATTCTTGGTGACAAGGGCAAGGGAGGTGCATTATAATTCCCAGTTTGAAGTTATACTACAATGCTACTATGATAAAAGCAGCATAGTACTGACCAAAAAAAAAGACCCAAGGATCAGTAGAACAGAACAGAATATTCAGGAACAACTCCAAGCACATTTAACTACCTTATCTTTGACAAAAGGGCCAAATATCCTTTGTCAAACACCTAGAAGAAAGATAGTCCTTTAACAAATGGTGCTGGCTAAACTGGCATTCTACATGGGAAAGACTAAACCTAGATTCATATCTCACACCAAGAGCTAAACTAAAATTGAAATTTAAAAATTGAAACAAATAAAAGATCTAAATATTAAGATGAAAACAATCTGTTACAAGATTGAATAGATAAAACTATTGGAGTAAACCCCAGTTGCATGAGAAATATTACAAAGAATCAACAACTCGTATCACAACAAATTAAAAAGCTTTAGCACAGCAAATGAAGCTGCCAACAAGGTGAAGAGACAACCCACAAAATGAGAAAACTTTACCAGCTACTCCTCAGACAGAGGACTAACATCTAGAATGTATAAAGAACCCTAAAAAAATCAGACCGCTTAAAGTTAAAGAACAAATAAAAAAATTAGCATCTAAAATGAATAGATACTTCTCAGATAAAGTACAAACAGCGAGCAAATATATGAAAAAATTCTCAAAATCAATGATCATTCATAAATACAAATTAAACAATGCTGAGATTCCATCTTACTCCAGAAGGAATAGCTATCATCAGGAAGGCAACCATAACAAATGCTGGTGAGGCTGTGGGAGAAAAGGAACATGTTTCCATTGCTGGTGTTAGTGTAAACTGTTACAACCACTATGGAAATCAGTATGGAGATTCCACAAACAAAAACTAAAATTAGTTTGACCCAGCTGTTCCCCTCCTAGGTATCTTCTCAAAAGAATTAAAAGCATCATACCACAGTGATACATGCATACCCATGTTTATAACAGCACAATTTATAATAGCTACATCCTGGAAAGAGCCTATGTGCCCATCAACAGATGAATGGTAAAGAAAATGTGGCTTTTATATATAATGAAGTACTATTTTATCATAAAGGAGGATAAACCTCAGTCATCTGTAGGAAAATGGATGCACTTTGAGACCATATTCTTAAGTGAAATAAATCTGACAAACCACTTAAAAAAAAAAATAGAACCAGAACTGTTGTGCCACAGTTTAGGGTTTTGTTGTTGTTGTTGTTGATTTTTTAAAAATGTAGTAGGGATCGAACAGGGGACCTTGTGCTTAAGAAGCAGGTAGCAGCCCACTGAGCTAAATCCCCGACCCCACATAATCTTTTTTCCTATATGCCCCTTGTATTCCTACTCTGCCTCAGTCTTGCTTGGTACAGTTCCACATAATAAGTTCTCAGGATCAGGACTTGTTCACAATATCAAATAAAGGTGAGAATCAAAGGAGAACTAAGGAAATGTCATCAAGTTTGGGAAACAGCAGTCTTTTTACGACCCTGTCCTTGAAGTACCATCGCATTCTTGTTGCTGTATTCTATTTGTTAGGATAGGTTGAGCGACTCCAGGGGAGGGAATTACACAGGAATGTGAATTCTGGGACACAAGGGTCATATTAGAGGCTGCCTATCAGGATGTGAAATCTCAACCACTTTTTTTAGAAAGAAAATATTTCTCTTATCCTAAAGGTGAAATCATAAAGATATAAAGAGAACTCAGGAAAAGTTCTAAGCTCATATTGAACAGGAACCAAAGTGAACCAGTTTGAGATATGGTGGCAGAGTTGAGCAGACCACAGAAATTAAGGCATTGACTGCCCTGAGCAGCAATGTGGTCAACTGCTTCAGGAAGCTTTAGCTTTGGGCTTTAGCTTCTAGTGCCTCTGCCTTACATGGGTACAAAGAAAGTTCATACATGCCCACAAAAGGTTTCTAAACCAGAATGAATAGTCCATGCAAAAATCCAAAAAGGCCTTCAAGGAAAACAAAGAGCCTCACAGTCAGACCCTGCCTCTGCTTTCTGTGTGGGCAGAGACTGTTTTGCAGAGGTCAAAAGGTAAGAACACTCCAAGTTCAGCTTGTAGTGAGCAGAACCTGTTTCCAGCTCTACCACATCCAGAGTTGAGCAGGCACTGGACACAGGGCTGGGCTTGAGGCTGCCAAGTGTTCCTAGACATGCAAGTCCTGCGTGGCAGGTTTTCCCCACACCCACCCAGATTGACCTACTATAACATTCTCTCCTAAATTTCTGGAGTACAGAGAAGCACAGGGATAGATGAGAGTTATATTAAATTTGGAAAATACCATCAGGCTACAACAACCCCTCTGGACTCTTTTAGAAGCTCCTGGAATTTCTGAGCCACTCCTGAGTTGATTCAACTATATAAATATTTATCAAAGGCCTGTTAAGATGATGGATCAGCTCCAGGTCACAGGTTGACTCAAATGAAGTGCACCAAGGAAAGACAGAAGTAGAAGCTAGGCCAAGCTGGTGGGCAGAGTAGCAGGAAGTTAACATGCGTGAGATTGTAGCTGGGAGCAAATTCATCTAGGAAGGAAAGTTCAGGCACCATAGACACCAAAGTCAAAGCCAGGGGCAGAGATTGACACAAAATCAAAGACAATGTAGAGTATGAATAGGAGAGTCACAGCTAATGCTCAGCCGTTCCAAGTGAACAGGGAAGAGTGCCTAGTCCTAGTTAAGAGCAGAGACCGGGAGCCAGCAGGTATCCCTGAAAACAGAGGTGGCAGTTGGCTTGTTCAGCACACTAACCTCAGGTGCTGGCCTAGCATTTAATTTGGGTGCTTAAGTTGGGGAGGAAAACACAGGAATGTGGTCATCCATAAAGACACCCATAAATCCAGATTCGGACTCCAAAGTGGGCGTCAGGAAACAATCGGGGAATGGTTTTCAGACACGAGGAGGGAAAGGCAGTTCAGGATCCAGAACAAGTGAGGGACACTTAGCCTAAATTACAAATGCTGACTCCAAAGCTGGGTGTGGTGGCACATACTATAATCCCAGCACTTGGGAGGGGACTGAGAGTTGAAGTCCAGCCTGGACTATACATATACAGCCCTGTCTCAAAAACGAAACAAACAAGTGCTGGTTCCAGGGCATTCTTAGAATTGATCACAAAATTAACTAGCTCAAGGACTCACCTTTTCTTTCTTTCTTTTCTTTTTTTTTTTTTTTTTTTTACTACGGGGGATCATTCAGACCC